GGTGGGGAGGGGAGGGAAAAGTAAGAGATGAGTAGGGTGGGGTTTGTTTTCTGATTTCTTTTTCTTGTTTAAAAATTAGTATCAATTGGGATGCAAATTATGCATTTTCTTCTTTTTTTTCCCTTGAGTTATGACACGTGTCACGATTTAATTAGCGCGTGTGATGCAATCTCTGAGATGAAGTGGTCAAACACAAAAAAGGTGTGTCTTAGGCACACTTCGAAAAGGTTGAGTGTGTAAGCTAATTTTGGTCCGCAAAAAGTGTGTAAGAGGGATTTCGTCCATAGGTCAGGGGGTAACTTATGTATTTTGCCAAATTTAGGGCTTGTACTAGCTCTAAGATGAAATATGACTGTAGGTATGCCGGGGATTTTATAGGGTTTTCAAGGAAGTCGTTCATATGGATTAGGAGAGTGTTTAAGTTTATCAGATAGTTAAATTTTATGATTAGTGTCAATCTTAAATGAAGATTTTGCATAAATAGAATTCTAATTCTTAAAATGCATGTATTTTGAAGAAAGCAATGATTGGATCGCTAGAGTTTGTTTAGCCCGTTAACTAAATAGTCGCTCACCCAACTGTTTAAATTAAAATTTACTGATGGAATATATATATATATATATATATATATATATATATATATATATATATATATATATATATATATATATATATATATATATATATATATATGTTTAATTAATGAATAACATTTTGACCATCTGATGTTAAATAACAGGGAGACAATGAAAGAATATAGATCAGAACTGAAGAAGCTAGCAGAGAGTGTGATGGAAGTAATGGATGAAAACTTAGGCTTACAAAAAGGATCAATCAAGAAAGCCTTCAATGAAGGAGAAGGTGACAATAATGCTTTTTTTGGAACAAAAGTGAGTCATTACCCACCTTGCCCTCATCCAGAAATGGTGAATGGCCTAAGAGCTCACACTGATGCTGGAGGTGTGATTCTACTCTTCCAAGATGATCAAGTTGATGGCCTTCAAATCCTCAAAGACGGCGAATGGATCGACGTCTCGCCTCTCCCCAACGCCATTGTTATCAACACAGGTGATCATTGTTTTTAGTTTAAAACTGCTGTGACTGTGCTTTGTTTGAGACGGGGTCCATTGGAAGCAACCTATCTACCTTCGCAGGGTAGGGTAAGACTGCGTACACACTGCCCTCTCCAGACCCCACTTGTGGGATTATACTGAGTTGTTATTGTTGTTGTTTGTGATATTTTTTTAGTATGACCAGTGGCGGATTTAAGAGGGGCGGAAGGGGGTTCACCCGAACCCCCTTCGCCAAAAAATTATACTGTATATATAAGGCTAAGTCTATTTTTTACCTCTATATATTAAGCTTTAAATCCCCTTGACACAGCCCAAGAGCATATCTTAGTGGTCAAGGGGGTTCAAAACTTTTGTAAGGTCATAGGTTCAATTCCCACTAGCTATAATCTTTTTCAACTTTTTTTTTTTAACCCCTTAGCGGAAATCCTGCATCCACCACTAAGTATGACGGTGTTTTATGGGCCGGAGCTAAAAAAAATGAACTTTTTTTTGGCTACATAGGAAATATATCGTTGGAACTTGTGTTCTTAAACACGCCGTGACATTTCTGTCCTACTATCAGCTGTTTGATTTCCTTCCCTCTATATACACACAGGTGATCAAATTGAAGTGCTTAGCAATGGGAAGTACAAAAGTGTTTGGCACAGAGTTATGTCTAAACCAGATGGGAATAGGAGATCTATTGCTTCCTTCTATAATCCTTCCTTGAAAGCCACCATTGCTCCTGCACCAGAGCTAGTGGAGATGAAGGATAAGAAAGAAATGGAAATAACTAATTATCCAACTTTTGTGTTTGGAGATTACATGAATGTTTATACTGAGCAGAAGTTCCTTCCTAAAGAACCAAGGTTTCAAGCTGTTAGAGAAATTTGAAGAAGGGCTAATATATATAAATAGCTTTCTCTCCATTGTTTGGCTCATTGTAGAATTTATGTATTTGTTTGAGATACTTCAATCTTCATATAATTAAAGCAGTACATATATAGTAATCTTGTGGCTGCTTTTTACAGGTCGTGTATTTTCATTTTTCGTTTCTTTTTTCCTCATGTATTTCTTGAAATGTATCTATCAATTCTGTCTTTGTAGGCTTCAACTTTAATCAATTCTAGCACTTTTTTTCCACAAAAGCTTGACACACATTATATCTCTCCAAGACAAACTACTCTCACAGAAAAACAAAAAAACACTTCTAGCTCCATCGCAGCTTAGCCAAACAAAGCATGAGAAATAGAAGAAGATGATTGTGAGTCAGTAAACTCGAAGATCTCAGCCAGATGTGTAAAGAGTGGAACTTTGTAATTAACCATGTGAAAATAGTGATGTACAAATTTCTTACTTTGAAAAATAAAATTAACAAGATAGCTGAATAAGAGGGTAAAACCTGACTGAATATCAGAGCCAGACAGTAGATATAACCATATAGACTCTTACTATTGTAATTCTTTTGCTCTTACTTATATGACTGTACAGTAATTTACATGAATGAGAGGACTAAATGTCAATAGCTTCAGAGTGCTTTCTGGTCTAATCGTTCGTTCCAATTTAGACAACGAATCAAGCTACGAAACCAATCACCTGTCTGATCAGACTTGTTAACTGTAGGTAGTGGATGCTGACTCATATATATGCAAACAGAATCTCCTCTAGAGAGTTGTTGCCTTCTCTTCCCATCAAAGGAGACCCAAGCATTGCTACGTGCATCCTCTGGAATCTGTTCATATGCAAAATACTTATAAGATTCTGGAATAGACAATATTCTTTGAGCTTCCCACGAGAGAGATCTCTCTGCAAACACACCTATACTTGAACAATGTCGTGACATGGATATCTAGTACCACAAAATGGCTCGGGCTAACTAGGTCAGTTGGACTATTTCACTAGCACAACTAGTGTACATCCCCTTTTGCTCCTGTCACTACTAGTACCTGACTCCATCGGCTCGGCATTTGTGCAAACAACAACCCGTACTTAATAGGCCAATTCAAAAAGGACGACGACAGCTGGCTACCGCTAAAAGTCAGACTAAGGGTACGCATTGTATGATTGAAAACTATCGCTGCATGCTCCCCCATGCTTGCAGGTCTGACAAGTACCTTCTCTCCACCGGCTGCTTGGATCAATGTTAAGTCTGCCTATGCCCACATCTTTTATAAAAGCAGCTCTCATGCCTTCATATGGAACTTGCTACACTATACGGCATTGGTAGCATCTTCAGTAATGAAAATGTTAACATCTGTGAAGGTTTCCATCATTAAATGCAGGTTTGACCCAACGAAGAGCACTCGGCTACCAAAACTATCGTTTATTACACATGGTATAGGGAACTAAGTTACACCATCTCACCCTAAGCTTTATGACGAGTTAGACTTTCTATAGAAGATTTCCCAATAGTTCTCATTCACTAGGGCTCAAGAGACACAAGTTTAGAACTGAGCTCATTCTGATTCACGCACATTGTATGACGCTACTAAACCCTAATGTGATGCCGAGGAGATTCTGGAAGTGAAACCTTGAACACAATTCTCTAGTAAGCCTTGTCGGCTTTGTTAATATTTGTAACGATTCTTCTCTTTTACCGCCTCTAAAGCAGTACTTATCCCTTTTTCTAAATGAAGTAATTGGTTACATTGCTGGCATCAAGAAGATGCAAAATAGTTACCAAAGAGATAGCAAAAAAGGAGGTTTGATAGATGTTCAAGCTAATACTGGGAAGCCAAAAAAATTCAAATAACTATTAGGGGAATCTAAAAGCAGTACCCATCCCTTACCAATAACCGAATCGAACTAACCAAACCATTTGGAAAGAAGCAGCCATATTACTGCTCAAAAACTTAAAAACAGCTGTGGACCTTTCCCACAGCCCAACCATATTATCTGAAGAGAATATTTGCTAGTTAACTGCACCTTATTAAGATACAACAATTTTAGCTGATTCAGCTTAGGTTTAAGAGTTTCCCATTTACAGGTGCAACACCCAGAGAAGACCTGAACAATCCACATACTTGATCTATATGACTCTCAAGAACAATATAATTAAACTCTTTGTTTTATACTGTGCAATGTTGGTCTCCAGATCTAGCCTAAAGACTTTGACAAAAAGTGTCTACGTATCATGAGGTTTTTAAGTAATAACATACACTGTCACTTCAGCAACCTGTGTCCTCACCTATTGCCAGACTTGTGAACAAGACGATAAATTCAATAGGATGTATATCCCCCAAACTACTTGATCGATCCTCACTTTTTTTAACCTTCTTAGCTTGCTTCCACCTTTAGTTTCCTCTATATTTTTCTTTCATCCCAAGAGATATACCATTCTGGCAATAATATTTTAATTGGGCTTCCCTAGAAAATTATTTTTGGATATCACTTATATTATATACAAAAAAAGCCAAGACAGCTAAGATGATATACAGGAACTACATATTTCTTCCCTCTTGCATGTAATAGTGATCACATATTTCCAGACTTTTTACCATCATATACAAATCCGTGAAGCCGAGGAAAAAGATTAGCAGCACTACAGAAGGAATAAAGGTCCTATTCTTCTTCCATTTTAGTTGGAAAATACTGTAAATTGTAGAAAGCTTTTGGTTAGGAAATGAGAGGTATTAGCACAAACTAGTAATGACAATATTTTTTGATACGTAAACTAGTAATGAGATTCTTTTCCAATAATCATAAAATATATATAGAGACAGTCACCTTTAGTTCTAGTCTTGCAGAATCTGGAAGTATGACAGGCCTAAACGAGAGAGAATGTGGACAGATTGGTGTAAAGAGCATGCATGGAACATTGGGATGCACCTGCATGACATAAATTACCCTGTCATTTAATGTTTACGCATTCACTAACTTAAGGCAAAATAACTAATAATTGTTGGCAGGATGAACGATGGTTCAAAGAGTAAGATATCATCACCAATAAGATCAGTAGCAAGTCAGGATAATTTTCAAAATTTCCCTTCAAGAGCAGATCGTTAATCACATCTATCAGAATCAAATTTAAGTAGCAAAGGCCTTCTTGTCACAAAAATGCAACTTAAAGTTTTTGTTATTATAATAAATACAACGTTAAAAAGGAAGCTGAAAAACAGGTTTATGTATGTAATGGTAAGTCAAGTGGTATGACAAAGCTCGCTTCTATAGTAGAATTTTCCGTCATTACTGCTTTTGATGCCTAATAGAAATTCCCGAAATGAACAAGGAAGTTGTTTAATACAACTATTGCCTATTTGGAACTTACCATAAAAGGGTGATGCCTATTCATTTATTTACTTTAAGGTATGACGGGCGTTATTAACCCAACTCTGTCAATAATTCTTAAAAGTCATACTTGCGAAGTACATATTTGACAATGAAGTGCACAGCGTCTTTTTTTATTTTTCATGTTTTCCATCTTCGTGTTTTCCTTGCTTTAATCTGGGGAGAGGAAGAGGTTAGATGGTGTGTTCTCTACCTTTAGTAACTTTTTTCAGTTTCTATTGCTGCCACATCAAACTGCTAGAGCTTTAAACCTCAACCTTCTAATTTGAATTTTAAGGGTCTCACTTTTCACTTGGTCTATCTACTCTAATGCAGCATATCACAACATTTATTCGTAAGTAATGTGTATCACAAGTACCATGGAACCCCCAGCAGCTGTCGAGTAAGCGGTACTTCCAGTTGGAGTGGCCACAATGACCCCATCACCTTGCACCTGCCAAATAATATAAGGCAGTATGACATGATTATTCTTTGATCTCTTGCTCATCAATTCAGCAGAGCACTTGTTGAATTTTCTAGAAGAAACATGATCTAAAATATTAAAATAGAATGTTCCTGTTCTAAATCTTTTGGCAAGGGTTGACTGTTAAGAATAAAAACGGCACCTTGGTAATGAGGCGGTCATGTTCATAACACTCTATTTTGGACAGGTATGGATTAGAACCACGATCAACTACAATTTCATTTAGGACGTCAAACACCTTTCCAGGCATTGCTTTCCCGCTTCGGAATATTTCGCATCGGAGACGCATTCTTAGAGTTATATACACACCATCTAGAGTGTTGTTTCCATGGATGACTTGTCTAAGATCCTTCTTATAATCTTCAAACTGTACGAATTGATGACAGAGAAGTAAAAGATGAGTATTTTTATACAACAAAGAAATAAAGCTTAACATTTAAGTTGAGAGGCATACTGGATGGGAAGTGAGAAATCCAAGGGATCCTAGGTTAAATGAGATGACAGGTGGGACAGCACCTCGAAATATATTTGACGCATGGAGTATCACACCATCTCCTCCCAAACAGGTAACAAAGTCAACCCTCTCGTGAAGATCACTGCATTTGGTACATCAGGCAAGGTCATACATCTCTTTGTGAAGTACCAGAGAGAAAAAAAAATGAAAAGGACAATGCTTTTGCACGTACAGTTTATTAGTCATCCCACCTGGTATCTTGACTATAGAAGGTCTGAACAAACCCAAAGCCTGGGATTCGTGCAAAAATATCATGCACCTCAGGTTCAACAAGAACAGTCATCTTCTCTTGGGAATACAAGAACAAAGCAACCTTTGGGGGGTTAAAAAAAGGAGATGGTGTTAGAACTTCTGTTTGTTAAGAGAGTGTTAAAACTTATGAAAATATGTGAATGAATGGCAGAAAACAATTGCTAATGGAAATGTAAACCAATATATTTGAAATAAAACTTTTACTCACATAGTTTAGTTACCAGCTTATAAGCAAGTTAACCTCATGTAATAAACCTAAGTTCAAAAAACTGATGCCTAAGGTTTTCAAAATGAGATGGCCAGACGGATATCTTAACAGGCTAGAGAGTAACTTAAAATTCATATTGATCAAAAGATCTCTGCATCCTGCTAGTTGACTAAGTAGAATGGCACATTTAACGTATGCTAGTGGGAGGGGAAGGGAAGTCAGAGGTAAAGACAATCCAAATCAAACAGAGAAGACTAAAGATTATATTTTCCTTTCCACCAGTTGGTTGATGGACGGTGATTTCAATGGGAGATACACAAGAGTCATAATTAATGATAAGCATAATTTCACTTTCTGCATTCCTCAGAACTTGAAATAAGTGAAGAATGAAGAGAGGTTCCCAGCATCAGTAGAAAATGAAAATCACAAGGTAAGAATTCAACTAAAATTAATGAGAACTGTGCGAAGAACCTCTTTAGCTTCTTCCATGAGTTCGTAGCCCAGCTTCTTCAACAGCAGTACAGTCTTTGGTGTGGATTTCCACAAAAGCATCTGCTGCTGGGTGCTAGGATGAGTGAAGGCCAAGGAAGATTCTGTTACTTTTTCTCTGGTACACGAATACCCATCTGTACGAACCAAGAACATCTCTGCCTTCCTTCTTGACTGCACTCTTACAACACCAGTGGCAGAAGCACACATATTTCCTTCAATCTGCTCCAAGTTATCTTCCAGCGAAGGTGTGGAGACCTCAATATTCCTCCTCTCCCCTTTAGTGACTCTAGACTCAGCATTACATTCTAACTCATCTCTTGCATCAACAATTCCAACGTTTTTTATTGAGGTTTGTACTTCCCCATTGCCGATTCCATTCAAGACTGGAGTCGCAGAGTCACTATGACCAGCATACATCTCTGTATTCGACGAGGAAGTTGAAGGGTTAGTAGTTAAGTGCTTATTGAAAGACGAACCATTTAAATTTTGTGATTCCATCACTCCATTCTCACTGTATATGCTTGTAGTTTCATTTCCCTTAGACACTCCCTTGTAGCTATATATTGAAGCAGAAAGCACCTCCAATCTTTTCCTTTCATGAGTAAAATATGTTGCAGGTGAAACCATCCTACTTCTGAAATACGTGGACATCTCTTTTCTGGAGAAGACATTAGAGGGAGGCAGCTGAGACTTGAGTGGGTTCACATTAGTGTAGGATGCTACTTCACTGTCAGATTCTAGCACTGTGCTTTTCCTTTTGGATGAAACAACTTCGTCGCCTTCAGTCTTGCCTAGGCCCGTAGTTTCAGAAATGTGCTTGATTTCTTTCACAGCAGAATTTATGTCATCTGATCTTTTAGGCAGTGACCCATCTTGATTATCAGATGCAGAGCTGACTTCCTCATTAAAGCTTGTACCTTCTTCTGACCTTGGCGACATAAATGTTTCTTCAGTTCCTCTAGCATCACGTGATGAGTTCTCAGTTGAGTCTGCTGTCTTATATGTACTGGCTACAAGCTGTGGTGTATAGCGAGTAATGTATTGCCGCCATCTAGAGACCATAGCTGACGTCCTCTTAATTCCTTCTCTACTGTGGAGATATAAGGGCTTTTTGTTTAAATCAGCGACCAATGCTGCAAACTTTTCGACCTGCTCCACTGAAGGCGATATACCAACTTCAACAGGTAGTTTAATTAATTCAATTTCCCCTGACGAAATGGCTTCATCTAGCACTTTCTCATAGAAGATGTCTTTTACAGTCTCGGCTCTGAGATCTACAATGGTTTTGAACCCTCTCTCCAACAGCCATCTAAGACCTTCGTCAGTTACCTGACCACCTCTCCAGAAAGCAACCTCAGAAGTTGCAGACTGTGTCTCTTCTTTTGATGTTGACAAATAAACAGGACTAAAGTTAGCAAAGAGTATATGGCTGGGGTTCTTTTCACCACGAGGAAATCCGGCATCATAACATACATTCTTCAGTCTTTGCAGTTTTTGCCACACAATAATGCTGCGAGGATCATCAGGTGTCAAATAGTTTTCAAGAGCAACATGTAAGCTCTCACAGTACCTCTTCATTTCACCTCTGAAAATTGCAAGTGGAGGAAGCTCATCATCCGTCACATGCCCATCAACATCACGGAAAGAGTCTGTAATCGAGGATCTCCCAGAAAGGACTTCCTCCCTTCCTTTATTTAAAAGACATACCATGCATCCTAGAACAGAAACTAGTTTATCTTCAAGTATTTGTTTATCGTCTGAGGGTACATCATATGAGACATTACATTCTCCAGTCAGTGGATTGCATAGGGTGTCCATTAATGAATTATGAAGTTGTTCAGCAGCCCGAAAGATTCTACAGTAAGCCTCTATCTCTGCAATGTCCCCAGGTAGTGGACCCATTCGGGGCAACTGTGAAGTATCACCGGCCTGGACAATTTGATATTCGGTAAAAATAATCACCCAGCAATATCTAGTTTTCAACAAACATATATCGAGAAAAGACTGATAGCTAGATTCGTGTCCGGGCAAGGCTGATAATTAGATACTAATGAGCTAGAAATTAGACCAGAAACTGTTTCGAATCAATTAAATGAACAATGACACAAACAACCACAAATTTGCTCATTCGAAAAGCATCAGTATAAAAAAATTATTTGAGGCACGTAGATTCTGTATATTTTGACATCACTAATACATTTTAAGCAAGATCCGCTGTGAAATTGAAGTGCAGTTCCTTCTCAGTAATCACAGCCTTGTAATTTTACTTTGCTTGTACAGATTCCTAACTGAAGATAAGCAAAAGAAAATTTACCTGAGAATCCAAGCCAATGTTGACGGAGAAAGCATTGGATAGTTCAGCACTGACAACAAACTTGACACGACGATATCCGAACGATAATCCAAGTCCAAACCCAGGCCCAGAAATCGCCTTTGCATAATTGAGCTGGCAATAGTGAAGATGGGTTCCAGTGGCTGCAACTGTACGACCCATTTCCAAATGGCATGGACAATAACGAAAACATATTGCCATACCAGTTGAACAGATTTGTGTGTATCTACTACACTCCCTGTACTAATGAATCAGTATGTATAATGGATGAAGAACCATCTGAGATTTTTAACAATCTTTTAAAAAATCCAAATAATAGAAGAAATATATGCGTGTGAATGTATATGTATGTGTTTGACAAAAGATGGGAAGAGGGAAATATGTGTGGAAGTGGAAATTTGTGTGGATAATAGGAAAGGAGGAATAGTAAGACAAATAATTGTGGAAATCAGTGGTGGGTTTGAGATTTGGGACATCATTTTTCCCGTTTTTGTGTTTTTCCAACTTCGATTTGATGCTTTTGGGTAAGGATAAATTGGAGCCTCTGGCTCAAAACGAAACGATATTTGCATTCTTTTATTTATTATTTTCCTCTAAGTCCTTTTCTTTCGGGGATAATACAGAAATTCCCTTATGAAGTTGTCTTCAATTTTTCAATAAGACATTTTAAACATTGTGGACGACCTAATATCCTCCTATACTTGTCCAAACTATATCTTGAACACCACACCGTCGAGGTAAAATTACCAAATGAGCACTTGAAAGGTTTATGTACGTGTCAAGCAAAAAATAAATAGTCGAAAAATAAAAACAAGTGAAAGGTCCGTGAAATTTTTTTGCTCTGAAAGGGAATGAAAGTTGAAACACTTTAATGGCAAATGGGGCGGGGCGGGGCGGGGCAGGGCAAAACCTTAATGGGGCAGGGCAGGGCAAGGCAAAGTCTTAATGGGGCAGGGCAGGGCGGGGCGGGGCAAAACACATTTTCAGAAAATAGTAAATGGGGCAGGGCAGGGGTAGGGCAGGATTTTAGCTCAAACTCACTTGTGTGTGCTTACTTCTCTTGCTATTTTAGCCTCAACAGATTTGGTGCCTCAAAATATTCTTGTCGTTTTGTTTTCTTTTTTAAATTAAAAACTTGTTTTGTTTGCTTGCTAACATTTGTTAACTAGTAGCATAATTGCAAATATAATAGTTTTATAAAATATCAAATTGTTTATTAACGATTCTACTTTATGCTAGCGAATAATGATAAAAATTTATACATTGGTTGGAGCAAGTAATTTACAGTTGTAGTATAACTCGTGAATTTGTTGCTATAAAGAAAGTCTTACGGGATAGGAGATACAACAACAGAGAACTTCATATTATGCGCACGCTTGATTATCCTAATATTGTTAAACTAAGACATTGCATAAAAAAAAATGATGGTGTGCTTATTATTGTAGTGAAACTAATAAACTGATGTTGTATTTTAAAAAAAAATAGAGGAAATTAATGGAAGTGATGCTTCGTCATGCAATTTTACAGTTCACTAACTTAAGAAGAAGTATGATAACTAAAGGAAACTAACCGTTCCAGAAGTAATTTAAACTATTAGTTATTATTTGGAGTGGAACATTAATATAAGGAAAAATTTAGTCTTTGATAAATTATATAATATTAATAAAATATTTACATTTATTCAATCAATATGCACAAACAAGTTTTATTGACATATCAATTTTAAATATTTAAATAGAAAGTTGAAAAGGTAAAAGAAATTAAAGGCATACTGCAAAATAAAAAATAAAGAGAAAAAAATGAAAAAAAAATAGTCTAAACGGGGCAGGGCTTAATAGGGTGGGGCGGGGCAGGGCAAAATTCTGACAAAAGGCTAAACGGGGCAGGGCAGGGCGGGTCAAATTTTAACGGGTCAAGGCTTGCCCTGCCCCGCCCTACCCTGCCCCGCCCCATTTGCCATCCCTAAATCCAATGATTTAAAAGAACTTTGGTTATTGGAGAGGAATCAGGAAAAATAGAGATAGCTAACATTCAATTTCCAGGCCAGGAGTTGAGGAGAGAAGGCTGATGAATGTTGGAGAGGAAGTCAAGATGGGAAATAAAGGAAAGCACACATCATTCTTCTTACTTGGCAGAACTGTTTTGAGACAAAATCTAAAACTATTTAACTTATTTGTTACTTCTCACGCATCCTTAATTTAGTGAATAATCTTTCTATATCGCCTGTAAAGTGATATTTAGTGAATACTCTTTCTAAGGTGATATTAAATGCGCTTTAGACATAAGAGAGTACTAGATCACCTGTAAAGTATTACTAGTGTATATGGTCATCGAACTTTTGTATTTGTTACCCAAAAGTCACTTTTCTTTTTTTTGTTACGTAAAAATCATCCAACTTTGTGTTCATTACACAAAAGTCACTTTTCTTTCTTTTGTTACACAAAAATTATTTTACTTTGCTCTAGTTATCAGTTATCACAAAAGTTAGATTTTTACTTGAAAAGTCTATTATGCCCTTGATATTATATAAACCTTCATATTTATGTAATACCTTCTATATTATATACTATTTAATATATTTTTAACTATGTATTATATTTATAAATAAAATAACTTAATATTATTTTATTTATTATTTTTATAATATATTCGTATATTTTATTTTTTCTTAACGTTAATTTTCAAAATATATTAGTAGCGTTATTAAATTTGTCAGTAACTTTAACAAATATTAATAGAAAAATAAATCGGCAAGTACATTCCGTGAGAAAATTCGCAGGTAAAACAAACAAAGAAAATGAGGAAAAATCATATGTTAATCTAAAGGAAAATCTCTAGGTACTACATGCGAATTTAGCTGGGGATATTTTCTTGGGGATTTACCTGGGCAATTGGTTATTTGGGAAATTATATTACTAGAAATTCGGAAAAAATCTTCAAAAAAAATCGGCCAAAGTTGGTCGGAAATTACCAACCAACTTTGGTCGGTCAATTAAATTCAAAAAGAAAAAATTGCTTGAAAAAAGTTGTTTTATACGCTATAATATATCTTGAAAATTAAAGTTAAGAAAAATTAAATATACGAATATATTATAAAATAATAAATAAATAATATTAAGTTATTATTTATAAATTAATACATATTTAAAAATATATTATATAGTTATATAATATGAAGGTATTACATAAATATGAAGGTTTATAAATATCAAGGGCATAATAGACTTTTCAAGTAAAAATGTGACTTTTATGATAACTAGAGCAAAGTAAAATAATTTTTGTGTAACAAAAGAAAGAAAAGTCACTTTTGTGTAATGAACACAAAGTTGAATGATTTTTACGTAACAAAAAAAAAGTGACTTTTGGGTAACAAACACAAAAGTTCAATAACCATGGATAAAATTATCGGAATTTATGTATTACCCTTTAATTTATCATAGGAGTAGTTTTTTCAGAGAACTCATTATGGGATTCAAGAACTACTTTTTTGGTTGTATTTTTGTATTGACTAGTGCTAGTTATGTATGAAATTGGCTGATATATTTTACTACCCAGAGGATTCGAATAGACTAGAATCCTTCAGGCCATTGTGACTGTGAATTGAATGAATAAACAGATGAAATTAAGAAAATAGTTATACTGAGAGGTTATTCTAAGGAGTGAGGAAATAGTTTAACATAAGTGTTTTACAATATGAATAAAAGAAAATGACCTTGCAAAGATTTGAACTAGACAAAATAGTAATGGATCAAAACCAATTGACGCGATGAGAGTTTAGAAGGAATAGGAGATAAATATGTATTAATATACTGATATATACTATGGAGCATATGTTTATCTATCTTACTAGTCTCTCTGCACGTGCATTGCACGTGTATTTCATATCTATATACTAAATTATATTCCATATCATTAAAGAAATAAAGACTAAAGACACATAAACTAAGATGTGAATAGAATACAAAATGATTATATCAAAAATTTGAAAATATTATCGAATAAATATTATTTAACTCAGAAAAAGAGTAAAGTAGAAATCAATCGGCACAATTTTTTGCCATATGTTCCTTGGACTCAAAATTTAAGCAAGATAGGCCAAAGACAATATAAACTAAACAAGTGTATAGTTGAAAAGCGATCTACCATAATAACAAACAAAATAATAAGACTCTAAAAACAAAAATAATGCATAAATAAAAAATATGTCAGTTTCTCGGCATGTGCAGTGCACATGTATGCCGAGTCATATAGTACATTATTTTATAATAGAAATAAATATCGTTCCTCTACAACTCATCGTTGTACTGTTGCATAAGCCATTTGAGGGTCCAATTTTAATAAGCATGATATAGGTGATTTCTTTCAACTAACTTGTTCAAGGAAGATAAATATATCTAATTTCTTATTAGTGTTTGTAGCCAATATATATATATATATATAATATATATATATATATATATATATATAAGAGAGAGGAAGCGGAGAATAAGAGAGAACGTAAATAATATAATGGATTTGAACAATGTACTTAATTATGTGGCGAAACATCATTTGGTATTAAAGAATTCAAGTGTTCAGTAATCGGTGGTATCATTTTCTACGGAGTCAAACTAATACTAATAAAGTTTTGCTTCACCAACTTAGCTATCGATGTTTGGTTTTGTTTATTTACCATATTTGTTTTTGTAAAAATTGATACTGCCAACCTAACAAAATTAATATTATACTACTGCGTTTAACACTTCAAGCCTTAAACAATTTCTAAACATCAACAAGATGCACTATTATTAATGACGTCCACTCTTATAGCATTTTCTGAAAAGAAGAATATCATGCTCACCTTTATTTTTTGATATATGTGATCTTCACGTTGAACTATAATAATATATTCATACATACTACCAAATTGTATATATATCAACAAACCTATTTCATTTGGTAAAAACAAACAACCACCAAATAATACCATAATTATCCCTAATCTTAATATGCATGCAACACCATATGCTTATGATCTCACGATCATCTATACTACATTTATACATATAAACTTCGTAAATATAAGCATAGATAATTAAAAAATAAGTAAAGGTAAAGAAAATAGAACCCGATTTTTTATTGCCACTTTCTTCTCAAATCATTCTTTTGATGTTTTCTTTGACAATTCGCTGTAAAATCTGCCATGATTTGAACCTTCTGCAACAATTATGTGCTTTAATTTTTTCTCGAGAATCCATATAGTAAGATACTGGCAGTCAACTTTACTTCTAGCATCATTCGAAGTGATTCGTCTTAAAGAAGGCTTCAAACGTTACCTTTCCTAATGCTTTTGCATTTTTTTTGTCGATATTTTTCCAAACATAACTTTTACAAGGTGATCAATCCAAAATTTTGCATTTAAAGTTAACTCATGTATTATCTTAGTAATCATTATTGCATTAGATTGGTAATGAATCTAACAGCAAACATCGTTCTTCATCGGAATGTTTGTAAGTCATACTCA